GCCATCACACAGGAAGAGGGGGACACAACCCCTCCTCGGACAAAGGGCAATCTCAAAGCCTACATGGACCTCAGCGAGGCCAGTTTCATCTCAGGGCTTCTGAAGAGTGGCCTAGAAATGTGCTCAGAGGAAGGAGAGGCGGCCCTGGAGCCAAGCAGATCAGCACCTGCTTCCTAGCTGTGTAACCCCGGGCAGGTTAAATAACCATCTGAGCCTCAGTTTCCACACCCTTAGGTGGGGTAATACCCACCTCGCAGGATCATTCTAAGGAGTCGAAAAGTATACGTATATAAATCCCAGCACAGCGCTTCTCACAGTGAAGAAACTTACTGGTTTCATTTATTATTAGTCCCCAGCCCCAGGCCAGGACAAATCCATGCCTCACTCTGACAGTGAAGAAAAGAGCCACAGCCAGACGGCTTCTGCCGCTGGAAGTAGAGATAAATGATGAGAGTGAAATAAAGGTGGTGCTGGTGGACATGGCAGCGGGGGCGGCCGGGCGGGTGAGCGGAGGGCTCGCTGCGCAGGGCAGCGCCAGGGACCGGCTCTAAGGGAGTGAGAAAGCCTCCATTCACTCCGGCCCCTCGGAAATCTGGTAGAGAGCATGAATGAGGTTCAGTCACTTCTCCTGGAATTCAAAGACGTCCCCAAAAGGTTCCTCTCTCCTGTAATCACAACCCCCGCCCCGGAACACACGCACACCCAAAAAGTGGCCTGAGAGCTTCAGGGAGCATGAAAGGCAGCCAGAGAGCAGCAGGCGAAAGTCACCCCCTTCACAGGCCCCGGCTAGAAACTCCTAGGTGTCTCATCTTGACAAGTCAACACACTCCTATTTAAACGCCAACGCTCCCAGAGAGCTACCGCCTCACTCAGGACTCCAGCGGAAGGACAACTAGGGCACAACCAGAAAACTCACTTCACGATGATGCCTAAGCCCTGTTCACAGGACCGGGTGAGGGGCAGGCAGGGTCACAACTAGAGTGAGGTGAGTGAGGCACTTGCCTTGGCTGCAGAATTTAAGGGGGCACCAAAAAAGCTCAGAAATCAAGATAAGTCATATTTCAATGAAAAATTTTTTTTGGCAGCTGGCCAGTACAGGGATCTGAACCCCCGACCTATGTGTTATAGCGCCTCACTCTAACCAGCTGAGCCAACTGGCCAGCTTCAATGCAGTACTTTTAAGAAACAAAATTAATGAAAAAAATCTATGATAAACACAGTATCAACATTCGAATTTCAGGCTCTGTCGGAGCAGGCATCTAGATGTGAATAATTACATGAATGCGGGCAACATGTTACTTCTGAAGCCTGGCCTGTTTCAGTGGGTGCAGGAGCATGTAACACCTCGTCCGCGGAGCCTTCTCTCACCAGGACTCCTCTCACAACCATCTGGCCTCTGGGTTCAGAATTCCAGCATGTCCACCCCACACAACCCAGTGGAAAAGGCTGTCTCTGAAGCCCGGGAATTGTATTCCGATGTCCCAGGCTGAGCCACCTATCTGATTGTCATGTCCATATGCGCCAGTCTAGTAATTCCAAGTGGTAGGTGCTTGCAGGGAGGGTGGGTTAGACCAGTCAGGAGAGAAGTTGGGAAAGGCGGGTCTGTTTCCAAGGGAAACAAAGAGGTGTAACCAGCTGAGCCCTGAGGCCCTTCTCTCTCTTTCCAGCTAAAGGGCCAAAGCGGGCTCCCTGAAGGGATGCAGGGAGCCACAGACAGTGAGAATCAGGAAGGACCAGTCCTACCAGCTCCAGATGGAGAGGCGAGCCTGGCATTCTGAAGGACAAATGCCAGGGCTCCCTGAGCAGCCTCGGGAGGCCAGGATGCTTCCAGGGCCCAAGACCAGAAATGGACAAAGATGTGGGTGGAGCCTATCAATATCTCACCAGGAGGAATGGAAAATCCTCAGCCGACTGTCTAAGTCAGTGAGAGACTCCCTGGCCTGCACAGCCAACCAGAAGCCCCGGGCTGGGCCATGCTAACTAGACACCTGTTACGATCTTTCATCAGCCTGGATTTCAGCTTCCACCTACCACCTTCTAACACCAGCACCCGAGGTGGGGAGCACCCTGGCAGCCATGCCAGGGAAAAGTCCAGGACTGAGGTCTCCTCTGAAGCAGCAGTAGGTTTTCCTCTCATATACAGATTTTTATTTTGAATTCCTGATTTAGGAAAAAGCCGATTAACCTGAAAGAAAACAGGCATTTGGGAATGTGTTCCTAACAATAACTGTATTTTGACAAAGAGAAGTCATTCTCAAGCCTGAAGCCAAGGACAGAGGCAGGTGGTATATTAGGCTGACCAATATGGAATAGCCGGTATTCGACCGTTTTTGACCTATAACCATACACATATTTACACACACTCTTCACTCCACAAAGGCAAGTAGTCAAGCAAGGTGAGGCTTCTCCGTGCTGGACTTGGGGCTCCAGGACCACACATTGTAAAGTTAGAAGGGCTTCAGGTAGGGAAGGGTAGCATCACCCCCAGTTCGTGGTTGGGCTTCTGAGGTCCAGAGAGGGGAAGAGACGTTTGCAAACGCACACAACTGGTAAGTGGACAGCTCAGATCACCAGGTTCCTGCCACCACATCTACTGATCACAAGGCACTGAGGGCCCTGCTCACCTCTAACCCGAGTCTATCATCTCTGGCACAGCCCTCGGGAAAAGCCTGGCCCTACAGAGAATGGCAGCACCTGCTTCTTCCCTTGAATCCTTCCGGAGGCAATGGGTGTTTCTGACCCGCCTGACTGGGCACTCATGCACCTGATTCAAAGGCACAGGCTCCAAAAACATGATGAAAAGGTCAAGGTTCTGCATTCGCAGAGGGCCTGTAGATGGATATTTCAACCCTGAGGTGTACCATTCACAGGCACCTAGTGTTCAGTAGCCTCTGCTCTTTGCTTTGTTAAAAGTGAGCTTGACAAGTTAGGAATGCTCAGGTGTCTCCTTTGCACGAGGGAGGGAGCAGGGGAGTGGGACTACAGTGTGGGAACATGGAACGAGAGTCTTCACCAAAAATCAGGCCCAGACATCCTAGGGGGGTCTCCTCATGTCCCTGAGCAACAGTGGCCTGAAGGAAAAGGGACTCTGTGAGGAACATGGAACGAGAGTCTTCACCAAAAATCAGGCCCAGACATCCTAGGGGGGGTCTCCTCATGTCCCTGAGCAACAGTGGCCTGAAGGAAAAGGGACTCTGTGAGGAACCCCACACATGTGTCCTAAGGGCAAGGGGACCCTTTCCCAAAGACTCTGGGGATATGACCCCAGGAAATTGGAGACACTGCCACCAACCTCCCCATCTCCCACTTCCTCCTCTGTAAGATACAAATGGTGGGGATGACCAGCCTGCCAAGTTGAGCAGGGAAATGGGAAAGGATGCCTGTTAGCACCAGGTGCTACATAAATGCAGAAAAGCACATGCCTGACAATGACCCCAGGAGTCATGCCAAGCCAACTGCAAATCACTTGTCTTCCAGGAGTCAAAGGCGAGTCCTCTAGAGGCAAAGGTGGTGAGAACTACACCATCAGCTTCAGCAGTTCATCTGCAGAGGCGGAGGCAGCTTCCCCCAGAGCCGGCAAGGAGCTGTAGGGCTTCACTGACCTTCACTGGTACATGCCACCATCGCCCTTGTCAGGGAAGCATGCAACGATTGCTTTTAAAGGGAGGAAACTTGAGAGGGGCTGGGAGAAAGCCTGAGGTCACAGCAGGATGAGAATGGGGAATAGAGCCAACTTGCTCAGGCTGCAGAGCCTGGCAGCCCGACCCGACCATCAGTCCAAAAAGCTTCATAATTTCTCTTCACTTGGATCTTCCTCTTTAAGCATTCCCCATTCTCTACCAGCAAGTATATCAAATGGAGAAGGAAGATGATGTCATTTTGTAAAGGGTCAGGAGGAAGTTAGGACTATTCTATGTTGTCCAAATGTACGACATTGTTATTATTATTATTACTGCCAGACCAGACCCTAAGGATGCCCCCAGCTCAGAGCACCCACCAAAGCCTCTTAGAAATAGCATGAGAATAACTGAGCCACCTGCTCAGCCTCCTGGGAGCAGCTGGATCCCCCTCGGGGGGTAAACGGAGCATAATCAGGTTTAGAATCAGCAGCAGAAGCTGAAGTATCCAAGGAGCAAGGGCAGAGAGCCATACCCGTTCCTGTCACCATCTTCCATGTAGTGAACACCTGCCAAGAGGAGAAGGAACTCTGAATGTCTCTGAGGAAAGGGAAGGAAAGTGAAGAGGAGGTCGGCTTCTGCCTCTCAACTGGCTTCATTCCCAGCCTCAGGGTCTGCTCCTGGCCATGACCACAGAGCAAGGGAACCTGAGTGAACAGGAAGCCACTCAAACGAGCTGCTATACAACTCCATAGCCCATTTCCAGCCTTGCCCCACAGAGAGAGTACAGCAGGCAGGGCCCATCAGAGACCAGGTTTGGAGGAGCTGAAAGATGGTAACTCCACCATCTCCACGGATGCTCTTAGCAGCAGCTGTAGAATAACCCTGCTTTTGCTTCTTGCAGATGCAATTGTTTTCTTAGCAAAGACTCAGCCTTCAGAGCTGAGTCTTTCCCCTTGGTGTATGAGTAAGAATTGGATTTGGCTCTCACTCAATGGCAGGTGGCCGTCCTTTAGCTTACTATACACCTTCAGTTACACTACATCTTTCCAAGAAAGGTGGCTGCAACCTAACAAAATGGCAAAAAGTAAAAACTGAGCAAAGGAGAAGTCCCTGCCTCATACCACAGAGCACTGTCTAGAGCCAGCACAGTCTGGATTATGCTGTAGGCTGCACCCCACCTAGAGGGCCATTTAGTGGAGCCAAGGATATACAGATGTGTTCATGGCTGAGGGACTATCCATGCCCTTCTCTCCAGCAAGAATGAAGAGAAGTCATCAAGGTGGCTGGAACTGCTTATGGGATTCACAAATTTTCCCCTCTTAGCTGAGTATGGGGGAAAAAGAATCTTTTACATATTAGCTTCACTGAACAAAGAAAAGAGAGATGAGATGCAATGACAAAACCCTGTGCAGCAAAACCAACAGCACCTCCACATCCAGGACTTGGTGGGGCCCTTGAACCCAAGTGCTAACGGGCTCATAATGCATGGAACCTTCAGCCATCCCCAGGGCAGGACTTTCTATCCTAGTTGCAGAGAACAAATCTGTGAAAGTGCCCAGATTCATCACTTGTGCCAGCTACACCTCTCTTCCCATTCTGGTACCCAGGCAACAAACTCAGGGAACCTACAGATTAGCCTGCAATGTCTCCAGAGAAGTATTCCATGACAAAAGACAGTGGAACGACAGAGTCTTGAGGGAAGAGGAGCAAAGACCTAAAGACCCTACTCCCAATCAAGTTGTTATTCCCACACAAAGTACTGTTCACACATAACACAGGAGGCCTCAGAGTAAGTGAAATATAAAGATATACATGAGAAAGCTTCAGGAGAAGCTCAACATTCAAATTAAGGGAACAAATTCCAGAAAAGTCAGGCGTGGCCTCTGCTGTCCCTCCTACCCAGCTTGTGGTCCAGAGCCCAGCATTAGGGCCACCCACACACAGAAACAACAGGAGGCCTTGGTCAGTTTCCAGTGCTTGGGACATGAGGTCACTGTACATCAGTGGCTCACTGAGTGCCTTACAACCAGCATCACTTTGCCACATCCATGTACAGAAGGTCCTACCAATGGCTCCATTTTACTTCAAGGGCATCACAGAATGGATGGCCTGGCTGAGAAGGGATCCCCACAGTTCCTACTCCCAGTATCCAGGATGCACCCCCTTATGCTATTCAGGTGCACTGCAGACATCTACTAACCAAACACATAGCCCACTCATTCCAGGGACTGGAGGGAACACTGAGGGAGGAGAATAACACAGAAAGATCAGACAGCAAAAGGACACACACAGGAACTTTGACTTCAGAACTGGCACCAATGATGAGTTTCCCAAGAAACTATTCCTGGGAAGAGCATGTTTGTATCAGAACCTGGTGTGACCATGTTCTGACCCCAGGTAGGTAAATGGGTGGCTTCAAGAGGTGCTGGTTTCTGCCCTTCTTTGTTTCCAAAAGGGACAAGGAGACTCTGTTACCCTCTTCACTGCAACTTGACTGTTTTTCCTAACCCCTTCCCCTCCCCGCCAATGCTATTGAGGCAGTTCCCCTGACCACCCACAGGATCAAGTAAATAGGTGAGGCACCTGGAAGTGCATGTAGGTAGTGCCAGGTCCATCGAACCCTATGCCCCCAATCCTCCCACACTGGGCCCCCCTGTCTTCAGTCTTACAGCTGGCATGAAAGGGCTTAGGACACAGAAAAGCTCATATTTCACACCAAACAAGATTCTGATTCATGGGTGTTGGGGGAGAGTGGAAGAGGAGCAAAATCAATCACAGAACACCCAATACTGGTGTCTGGGGAGGTTGAACTCGGAGCTAACAAAGGACCCCAGGACAGCTCTGGGCATACCCAACTGGCTAAGGAGAGGGAGCAACAGATTTGGCTGAGTGACTCTGCAGGGTCACCCTAAAGGCAAGGAGGACCATGGAGGGTGGGGGACATGCATGGACCCCTACATCCCCTACACAGCCAGAGCTGTTGGCCACAGCCCCTCCAGTGGACATGAGGAGAAAGGCCCTGCGGGGCATGCAACCCTCTAAAGTGGCCCTGCTTCCATCCCCTCCATCTTCAAAGTGCATTATCAGTGCAAGAAGTAGGGCTGGATCTCAGGGGGCCCAACTCTGAGAAAGGCTGTGCCAGCCAGCTCCCCCCATCTCCTCCTGCATCCCCCTTGCCCACCCCCGACCCTTTTCATGCTAAGACCAGAATTCTTGCTGGATCTCATAAGGGGCAGGCCTGTGTGTGCTCAGTTCAGCTCTGCACAATGGCACAGTGCTGTCCTGACTCTGCCCCTCTGCATCCAGGTCCAGAAGCGTCCGCTCAGCAGGGGGCAGTGGCCCTGCCTGGAATGGGAGCAGGGCTGGGAGTCCAGGTCGCTCCTCCACAGTGCTGCTGCTGCTAGCAAAGCAGGAGTCCAGGTTGCTGGGTGTCTCTGTGCTAGAGCTGTTGGCTGGGGAGGCGCTGCGGGCATGGCTGGGGGACACAAACCACCAAGGGTCCAGCCGTTGCCGGTTGGCAGAAGGACGTGGCCGGGGCAGAAACTCCAGGGTCTTGGGTCTCTCCAAGGTAGAGTCCTGCTGTGTGTTCCAGCGCCTTGGGGTTGGGGGAAAGACCACATTGGGGTCAGGCAGACGGGGGAATTCACCAGGGTCTCGGCTAGGACTGGGGGTTTTCAACATTCCTGGACAGGGAGACAAAGGGAGAGGCATCAGATGATGGAACCATACTTCTGGGCCAGATACCACTGCTCCCTCCCCACTTTGCCACATCCTTATGCACCCGAGATCATCTGAATTAACATTCACTAAGCACCTGCTGTGTGCCATGTACTGTGCTGGGAGGCACTGGGGATACAATAGTGAACTAGAAGGCCATAGTCCCTGTATCTGGTAATAATAATTGGACATATGGGGGTCACATCTGTAATGAAATAATTTAAGGCAGATGTTTGCAAATGACCCACAAGCCAGACCCCGTGTTTGTAAATAAAGTTTTATTGGAACACAGCTACACCCAATGTCTGCTCTCTCACTATAACAGCATAGTCACGTAGTTGTAAAAGAGGATGTGTGACCCACAAAGCCTAAAATATTTACTACCTGGCCCTTTACCAAAAAAAGTTTGCTGACCTCTAATTTAAGGGAATGTCTCTTCATCCATTTGCTAAACATGTGACAGGAACAGAGCTAGGTTTCTGAAGTCTAAAGGTGAGTAATAGAGGGTCTCTCTTTCCAAAGAAATCACATACCTGAGTATAACAAAAATATCTCCAAGGGGAGGAGCAAGCAGCATGGAAAAATGAAATTGTCATTGACACTCAAATCTCATCAAAGGGGTACTGATCCCCTCTTCTCCTACTAGACCAGAGGCTGTTTCTAAATGAGACTAAGGTCTTCTAGGGCAAGAGAGGGTGGTGGGAAGACCTGGGCTGAGCATGTGTACATGTCGAGGCGTCTCTGGTGGAGATGGAGGCGGCAAGCCTGTGCGTGTGGACACACCTTCGTGTCTGAAGGCCCTGTGAGTAAGGGATGAATGGGCAGAGGCTCGCCTTATGAGTGGGTCTGAACTAATGCTACAATGAGAGGCAAGAGCCCAGCTCATGTCAGAAAATACCCCTCCTACATACGGTGCAAGATTCCTTCCTGCTAACTGCAGCACCCTCCTCCAGAAACAACCAGGGGCTAGACATGCCCTTCCTGTACCCTGAAAGCACTGCCCTACCACAAGACAGGGCTGGAACATCCCACAGGAGTCCCAGGTCGATTCTTCCTCGAACCTGCCTGTCTCCCTTCAATCCTCAGGGAAGACCCCGAGGCACAGAGCAGAGAGAAGTCAGCCAGCCCTGGCCATCTCCCCGACCCCACATCAGTCTTTCTTGATTGGCTGAGACAGAGGAAGAATGTGGTTCACTCAAATCCAGAAGTGGACAGCGGAAATGAACCACAAAGGAAGGAAAGAGGAAACAGGGAGAGGACAGGATTCACCTGCTCCAGGACTGGGGCTCAGCCCATTGCTGGAGGGGCTCCTGCTGGCTAGGGGAGCCGCTGGCTTAAGGGCCCCATCGGAAGGAGTCCGCCGGTGACCACTCGGCTGCGTTGGGGCCGTGAGGGTGACATGGGTGGGAGTGAGAGACTGGTTAGGGTCTCGCTTGAAACGTTCCACTCGGATGTTGACTAGGGGGTTGTGGGTGCATGGGGCCAGGGCTGGGGCCTCGACGGGGCTGACGGGCATCTCATACACCACGATCTCATCACTGTCGGAGCGCAGCAGGGAGCGGGTGGAGTTGCACTCAGAGATGGAGGAGAGAGACAGCAGTGTCAGGGAGGCGGAGGGGTCTCCCAGCAACAGCATGGGCTCTTCCTTTTTGAAGAGCTTTCGGGATGGGGGGCTAGTGCTTCGACGAGGACGGCTGGCCCTCAGGAAAAGACCCTCACGCCTCTTCTTCTCCTCCCGGGCTGGTGGCTCAGGCTCCTCTGGGGGAAGCAGCTGGCACTTGCCAGCTTCCAGCAAGTCAAACCCGAGGCCTGTGGCTGCGAGAACAGCCCCGCAGCCGAGCAGAGCTGCCTCGCAGCGGCGGTGGGGGGTACCGCCCCGTTTGAGGCTGTTGGTTGGCGTCAGCTGAGGGGTACTGGTGGCTGAGTTGACTGGGGTGGGCTCCTCATGGACTCCATCACTGGCGGGGCCATCCACATCCTCTCCACGAGGAAATGGGATACAGAGGTAGGATTGGTTGGGTGAATGCTGTAGACGACTGTCCGCACTCCTTGGGCCTTCACTGTCCTCATCCTCTGTGAAGATGAGAGGAGTAGAAAGGAAACAGCAACTGGGAATGAGGCAGCAAGAATAAGAACCTGGTCCTTTCCCCCACCCCAGGCCTCCTAAGTGTCAGGGATACAAAGGTCAAATAGTCTGATGGACAGGACATGGAACTGGACACTGAACCAATAGGACTTTCCCCACACACTCAACATGTGACCAACATGGGGAAACCACTCTCCATCCAGAGCCCATTTCCCTATTTGCAGAAAAGGGGATCTGCTATTTGCTACCTCTTTCACGGGGACCCTTAACATGAAGCACAGAATGAGTTCCTAGAACACTCAACAGAACAGAAACATTTCTAATGTTTCCGTACCTTAAAATTGGAAGAGCCTTTGGATTTCTAGAATGATAGCCTACTGACTTGTCTTAAGACCAGTCTCCTGCAAAGGATCAGAATCCCTGCAGGCGTGAAGGCCAGTCTGCTCTATGGATGGATGTATTATGATCTTGAAAACCTGAAGAGATGAGACTACCTGAGAGAGAGCCTGGGAAACTTACCCATTCAGTAGGCACATTGGAAAAGCTTCCTGGGAGGAAGGCTGCAGTGTTTTCTAATACAATCCCCAATTCTGCAGACTCCCCACATTAAAATATGAGGAAACAGACCCAGAAGGGGGAAATGTGTAATCCAAGCCCTCACCCTTCTGCACTGCCCTAAGGATAGGAGGCCAAAGAAAGGCTCCACTACAGCAGTAGGAAGAAACTATGAAATGAGAGTGGAGCAAACCAAGAAGGTGTAGGGTGGGGGGCCAGGACTTGAGTGCATGAGGAAGTAGTACAAGGGGTCCTTAAACAGTCCTAAAAGCTTGGCCGAGAATTCCCAGAGGAAACAAGGAGAGAATCAAGACAAAAGCAATGCTTACCCATCTCTGTAAGGCTGGTGAACCCTGGCAAGGCCGGGCTACTCCTCGGGCCCTTCCCCAGGTTGGGGGCACTGGACGACCACTGTTTGTATCCATCTACCAGGGACTTGAGGCTGAGTAAGAGGAAATAAGGAAACTGTCAGAACTGGTTACTTCCCTTCCTCTACTCTCAGCTCCGCAGGCCTGTGGAAATGTCTCTCTCTGTCTGCCTAATAACAGCAAAGAGGCTTGGCGCACAGGCAACAACCCCTACTGAGCCCACTTGCTTCACAAACAAAAGTGCACATGCTCCAGAGAAAAACAAGCGGTGCTACAATCCAATCCACCTTGCACGTGCTGCTGTGGGACTGTACAAAGACCTGGTGGTAGGCCGGCAGGCCGGCAAGCAGACAATGAGAACAAGGACTGCCCAGCTGGCAGCGGGGAGGCAGTCAGCCCAGACACTGGACACGACACACTCATGACATCAGAATCACTGCAATGCAAAGGCCTGCAGAGCAAGGCAAGCACTGGGCAGACAAGCTGAGCCAGGCCACTTGTACCACTTCTCAAGTTCTCCTCCCAAGCTCACAGCATGCTTAGGAAGCTTTCAAAGCCATCCACTTTTCAAAAGAAAAATCAGCCAGCAAAGCTACACCAATCCAGTGCATTTTGGACAGACCTATGTGGGCATTATGCTATACTCGAGCCCTCGGCTTGTATGGGGACAGAAAGACAACAGGAGCTGGCTTTCACATGCCTGTAATCATCTCACATGGCAACAAGTAACTCTCCAAGCCAGTGTCTCTTGAGGATACAGGCTGGGTACCCCTACAGGATGGGGGAATCAGAGGCCCAGAAGCATTGGTCTTTTCCATAGAGCACAGTAAAAGGGAGGACTGAGGAATCTGTGGGCCATGGCTGCCTTGGAGATACCAGGATAATAACCAGAAGTGGCTCCTCTATTAAGGTCAGAAAAAGCCCACATTTAGGTCATTCAACTAAAGCCCACTCTCGCCAGAGTTTCGGCCCATCTTGAGGGAGAGAGAAGGACCAGCTTTCCCCTGACCTCAGAACTCCATTTCAGGTTCTACCAGAAATACCGATTAAGTAAAGTATACCCCAGCCACTGCTGTGTTCAACCAAACTACAGAGTCTGAGATAAGGGTGCTGCTAAATCAGCCTGGGACTGCCAACTGATAATCTTATAGCATCGCTACCAGAAATACCGATTAAGTAAAGTATACCCCAGCCACTGCTGTGTTCAACCAAACTACAGTCTGAGATAAGGGTGCTGCTAAATCAGCCTGGGACTGCCAACTGATAATCTTATAGCATCACCTCTGGCGCTGGATCCAAGGAAATTCAGATTAGCTAAGTCAAAACCAGTGCTAAAGTCCAAAGGATAAATAGCCATGTATCTTCTCCCTAAAACTAAGGGTGCCAGGGGTATCCCAACAACTGGCGAGGTCAGGGAAGTGAAGAAAAAGGTAAAGATAGATCAACTCAGGAATTTCTCCAAGGTGCACAGTGGTGCTGCTTATAAAAACTAAAATAAAATAAAAAGTCAGCTCAGCCCTGGCAATCATGAGGCTTGATTCTATGGGGTATGCTGTGAGAAGAGGAAATGGAAGGGGATTGTTACCAGTGCAGTTGGTGAAGGGTGAAGGTCAGACTCACCCCAAGTGGAAATGTGGAGACTCTGATGGGGTACTTAGACCATTAGCTTTCTCACGTCTCTGAGGGGATCTTCAATGAACAGAGAGAATCAGTAGCAGGCAAGGAAGGGCACACCCATCTCAGCCTCTCCCACACCCAACTCCCAAGGCTGGACTCGGGCTACATAGCCAGTCACCCTCCCCTTGTCCAGTCAGGAAAGCCCATACTATGAAAGGATCATAACAAGGTCACCCTGCTTAAGCTGCTGCAGGCCCAAGACCTCCCAATCTGTGGGACAAAGATCCCTGAGCAGCCACAGCATAATTGTGGGGCCTCTAACTCCACAGACAAGTGTGATGTTTCCTACAGATATGTACTATTTTTCAAAAGGATGGAGATGCAAATTCACTTAACATTATTTAATTCAAGATAGCTTTTTGTTATTACATATTTTCTTTAGTCAACAGTTACTAGAAATTAGAAATATCATATACAGTTTCTCAAAAATTCCTAACATTAAAGAGATCTTTACTCAAGACGGGATGAGATCTATTTCTATTTCTTCAACAGGAACTGAGAGTCATGAAAAATTAAGTCAGTATATTTTGAATTGATTAAAAGTTGGTGAGGGCAAATCTATGTAAGGAGGAAGAAAATTCCAAAGTATATCATTTGTAATGTGAAATAAAGTTAATCTACTACCAAGACCAAAAAATACCTTTAAATGAAGCAGAATCATAGAAAATGTCACAATCCATAGCCAGCCTGGAAAACTCTATCTGGAATCACATTAATGTCAGAAATAGCAAGGGATTCAGGGTAACTGAATTTCTCAGACCCAGCTCAGCCCTACTGAGCTAGTGCAGGGCTCCCAGGACAGACTGGACAGCTCTTACTCCTGCAGAATTTAGTAGAATAGAGCAATCTGCCATTCCCCAAGGATACAGTTGCTGAATTTGTACATGGCTTAGGTAGTTTGCCCTATATATTTAAATTTTCTATTCAAAGGTATTCTGAAGCTTAGCTGACATGGGGAAATAGACTTTGAACATAAAATCTTAGCATTCAAAAGATTACCAAGACCAGTTATAGGTTCAGGACACCTATAAGCCTAATATTGAACTTCAGAAACACTTTGGGAAGTCACTAAAAAAGGTGAAGAGGACTTCTGGTTAACCTCACAATAAGGATATCCTCACATTAGTTTTTTTTTTTTTTTTTTTTTTTTTTTTTTTTTTTTTTTTTTTTT